CCAAGTTCCCTCGCCACCCCACCCCTGTCACCAGTGTGCCTTGGAGTCTCTAGCTCCCAACCGTTGGGGGTGTGCGGGCAAGTGGGGCCCTGAGTGTGCTGACCGTTAGGGAGGCTGCTCTCCTGGTCCTTGCGGTGGCCTTTGCCTTCCTCATTGGCTCCCTGGGGTCCGTCTCTGACCTTGAGCTGGGGCTGGCCCGTTCGGGCCGTGATGGTTTATCGCTCAGCCTCGAAGGTCGGGAGTGAAAGGACTCATCGTGGTCCCCGCAGGCCAGCTGCCCCGACCCTGCTGTCGGTTAGTTCTCGCCCCACTTCTCTCTGTAGCAGAAGAGATCCTGGGAGTGGGTCAGAGTTACCCCTGTGTCTCGTTACGCCCGTGGGCAGGAGCGGGCCTGCGGCTGCGTGGGCCCTGGCAGCAGGGACAGCGGTGTTCCATGACTTGGAGCTGACCTGCTGCACGCTGTCAACTCTGTGGAGGCACTGCCTGCCTTTAGTTAAGCCCTTGAGATGCCGTGAGACATTGAGCTGGCCTCTCGGGACAACTTACTGTTTCTGCCCCCAGCCTGGTAGATTTGAAGCTGTATGGACTGACTCCCTCACTCAGTCGTCAGTGAGCTCGGGTGTGCAGCAAGTCTGGCTCGTCAGTCTTGCAGTTCTGCAGAGTGTGCCATGGGTGTTGTTAGGATCTATATCAGGGATTCTAAGAAACTTTAAACTTAGTATCATGAAGGTGCCTTCAGAGGTCCTCCTGAACTCCAGCCGTGGGCCTGACACAGTGCAGGCAATGAACAAAGCCCACCTGGCCCACAGGAAGCTGACTTTCAGAATCGGTACCCAGGGGCCACCTGCTGCTCTTGGGAGGTTAGCTCTAAGCACAGATGATTGACCCAAAGACCCTCTGTCAATCATCACCAGCTGAGGAAACGGTTTGCATAGCTCAGGCTGGGGCTGGTGCCGAGCAGGTTCTTGTGCCCTGATGTGTGGCAGCTGCATCCTGCCAAAGTCGGCCTTTTCTTTGGTCCATGGTACCTGGCACCTTACAGAGTGCAGTGTCATTTACTTATTCATCACAGTCGTTGCTTACTCTGACTCAGCCAGTGTGAGGGCTGCTGGTCAGGGCTCTGTGTGTGTTTTGTTCACTTGTGCGTCCCGCGTGCCTAGGTACTCGGTAGCTATCTGTTGTGGAGCTGCTGAGCACACTGTGTCAGACCGCACAGCAGGCTAACCACCTGCCGATCGGCCGTGGTGAGCACAGGGCCAGATCTGCCGCCTTCAGCGGCTTGGGCTGTGGCGCGGGTCTGCGGGTCCCGGTGGATGGCAGCGAGTGCCTGGGCAGGCGCCACGTGGGGGCCTACGAGGAGTAAGGAGAGAGGAGATGGAGATGAGGGACTTAGTAGACACCGTTAAACATCATCTCAGATAGTAGCAGCAACATGTGACAGAGTGAGGCTGGGACTAACTGCAGAGCTGGAAAGAAAGCAGATTTACGCAGCCAGAGTGTAGTCGTGAGATGTCTCTGAGCTCGGTGCGTGTCCTCTGAAGTTGTGGCCGTGGGCAGGACTGATGTCGGGGGTGTGTGGTGCTGGAGTTACTGGGTGTTTGCCGGAGGGCAGACTGGGTGGTGGCTAATGCCTGGTGACATCTCTGTGTGTGTGTCTGCAGGAGAAGTACTGTTACATTTGCCCTGATATAGTCAAGGAGTTTGCCAAGTATGACATAGATCCGCGGAAGTGGATCAAACAGTACACAGGGATCAATGCCATCAACCAGAAGAAGTTCGTTATAGATGTTGGCTACGAAAGGTTCCTGGGCCCTGAAATTTTCTTTCACCCAGAGGTAAGATGTTTGCTTTCTGAGTATGCAAAGAATGACGTGTGTGGAGCGATGCTGCCACCTTGTGTGTGCAAGAGCGGTTCTCTGTGGGACTCCTGAGTGGGGTGGCCGCCTTTCAGGGAGGATCTCCCGGGATGCAGGCTGCAGCCTCTGTGGCTGTTCTGGCCCCTGTGTGGTCCACCTGCTTGACTGGGTGTTTTCAGCGTGCCCCTCTTTGGGTCTGGTTATCTGTTAAACAGTTAATGGTTGGTTAAATCGAGAGTGGTTAGGAAGAAGCTTTAAGAGCAATAGAAGATAATGGAGTTGAAATTCATCTTACACTAGCATGAGAACTAGTTAATCTCACGACCGAATGGAACTTGCCTCTGGGTAAGAGTGGATAGCGTGTAACCTTCTGACAGCCTGTCCCCATTCCAGCTGTAACCCAGGCCAGCAGGTCCTGCTGTGCTCCCTGCTGCAAGTTAGTTAAAGCTTCTGTCCGAGGGCAGCCTCGGAAAGAGGAATTACAGGTATCATCGGTTTAACGAGTGGTCACAAAGAATTATTACTGCTTTTGCAAAAGCAGTAGTTAAGAGGCAACATTTTAAGGTTTAAATAAAATGGATTTTATTTATATTTTGGTATATTTTTCTGCCTCATTCAGTTTACATTTAATAGGTAAGTACAAACCGCTGCCTGTTCTTCGATGCGAATGACCGTTTGTTCAGGCAAATGGCACACAGCATATGCCTGACTGTCTGCTAGCACAGCGCCCATTCCCTGTGCCTGTGAGAGTCCAGCTGGACGCGAACCAACCCGGTCCAGCGAACAGCTGCGTGGTGCCTTCTTCCCTTGAGCACATTAGCCCTTTCCGTGATTTTTAAAGTGTATTTCAGAATTTTGTAATCGAGTTATTTATACTGTAGCTTATTTCACTTATGGAATTGGATTTAAGACTTTGGAATTGGATTTAAGACTTTTTACTCAATAACACGATTGTTACCATATTGATTGTTTCACCTTGGAAGCCACCCCCTTCCCCCTTCCCAGTCTTCTAGCTCAGATTTCACAGTGTGAGTCGCTGCCTAGGTTTTTTCTTACATCCTGGCTAACTTTTTCATGACATTGGTGTCTATACTTGATGCGCTCATTACCTACTCAGTATTTTTCACTGCCCGTCGCATACATCATGTGAGTCACTGTGTATTCTGATGCAGGGCTGGTCTGTCTTTGTTACTGTTTGGTGTTTTTCCCTCACTAAATCCACACATATCTCTTGAGGGGACATGTCACCATCACTACTTGCACAGAATCACTTGGATTCATATGACATATTCTTTCCAATGTGACAGTTTTAAAGGCATAGTAAATTCTGTATTTGTTAAAGTTACTTTTTAAAAATGTTGTTGAGAGGAATGTGTAATGTTTCTTTTATGTTTGTATAAAATTCAGTTTGCCAACCCGGATTTTATGGAGTCCATCTCAGATGTTGTTGACGAAGTAATACAGAACTGTCCCATCGATGTCCGTCGTCCGCTGTATAAGGTATAAGCTGCTTGGGTAAGGTGCCTGGGTTTCATTCTGGAATTAAAGGCCCAGCATTCTGAGAATAATAGATTCTTAACATCAATCTGCAGGCAGTCCTGTTTGACTTCTGTCTTACAGTATTTGTTAAAGGCCGGCGTCCTGGTGAAGTATTTTTCTTGCAATGGGTATGACTTAAATGTTTGGCAATATGACTCAGTTAACCAGAAGTATTTAATTTAAAAATTCTGGTATCTCTTATTCTTATTTGCCCAGCTGTATTTTAAGTTGGGCAATTTTAACCCTCCATATTGACTGAAAGGTCAAGGGGCTCCTTCCCCTCCTGCTTTCCGTGAATTCACTGGCCTTGCTTCGTGCGTATTTAGATTCATGCTGCATGTGTTGTTGCCAGAGAGAAGGCGGAGCCTGAAATGAACTATCAGAAAATGCTCATGTAATATTTTTCCAAAATTCTTTGAGCATAGAGAATTTTGAAACTTGAAAGGAGAAGAAGCCAGTTCATTGAATTGTAGGATGAAGGACCTGTTGCTGACAGCCGGAGTTGGGGGTTGGGGCAGAAAGTGGCAGTCAGCTGACCCTGCTTCCCCGGCAGCTCACCTCTGCCTGCGCGTCCTGCTCTTCCCCCCGGACTGCGTCTCCCCTTCTCAGATGCAGGGACCCGAACCTTAGGGAGTAGAGGCCCGGGCTCAGTAGAGAGGGCTTGATACAGCTTGTTTCATCTGGGCGGTAGAATACTATGCAGCCTTTAAAAAGAATGAGGTAAATCAGTGTACGTTCAAATGAAAAGATGTCTACAGTATATATTGTTAAATGAAAAAGCAAGTTGTAAAATTTACATGTAGTATTATTTCATCTTACTTAAAAATATAGTTTGTATATATGTATGTGTGTATATATATATATGTATATAAGAAAAAGGTTTAAATGATACGTGATAAACTCCTTAAAATAAAATATCTCTGGGCATGAGATGGATAACTCTTACTTTCTACTTTCTGTGTTTTAAAATTATTTGAAATTTTATAGTTAACAAATGTTATTTTAATTATTGGAAAACATTTTCCTATATAGACAACTTTGATCAATGAAAACAAATTATAATTCTGTTTTTATTGGTACATAACCTTAATTCAACATCTCTCTCCTCCAATAAAATGTGCAAGGAAGGGAAACCAAAGGCAGACTGGAGTATTAGAATTAAGTGCTGCACGTGTCCTGTCCCTGCTTCTTAAATCTCACTTAACATTAGCTGTGTCTTCTTGTCTGTGAAAGCAAGGAACAAATGTGCACTGTTTAGTCTTGTTTCCGAAACAGGGGCTTGATGAGTGAATGAATTTAATATTGAGGCCTAAAAACACCCCTTTCTGCGAGTTCACTTGCCAGGTAACAGCTTGCTTTCCAGGCTCAGTGGCGGGAACCATAGGTTGGTTTTCTTTTGATGAGCGAGTAGGAGGAGGCCTGCTTTAGG